TGCAGGTTTCTCCCCCCATGGGCCCAAGGACACACCTGGAAGCCATTAGCAGAGGAGGCAGCAGGCTCTGGCTCCAGGTGAGAAGGCGTGATGAGAACATGTGGCAGCCTCCTGCCTGCTGGAGTGGGGCCTGGAGGACACCTTGGCCTGAGGAGTTCCAGCACCACTTCCCCAGCACCCACTAGAATGGAGAAGTAACCACAGCGCAGGCACTGGCACTCAACATGGTTGGTGAGCCCACCTCCAGTTCACTTCCCGAATTTTTGACACCAGATTTCCTGACTTTCCTTTTCATTTTTTTTCAAAACATATTTTTATTGATGTCAGAGAGGAAGGGAGGGTTAGAAACACCAATGATGAGAGAGAATCCCTGATCTGATTGGCTGCCTCCTACACGCCCCACACTGGGGGGTCGAGCCCGCCACCCAGCATGTGCCCTGACCAGAATCGAACTGTGACCTCCTGGTTCATGAGTCAACGCTCAACCGCTAAGCAACACTGTCTGGGCTCTACTCACACTTTAGCTGTGCAGCCTTGGGCCTCAGTCATTACTCTATCCCTCTCCCTTCCTCTCTGTAAAATATCAATAAAATATATTTTAAAAAGTATTAAGAAAAAACAGAGAAAGACTTACCTCATAGGGCGAAGGCAGTAGCCCATGAATACCTGCAAGGTTCGGGGAGCAGTGCCGCCTGCCAAGTGCTGTATGAGCACACGTTATGAATATGTCCTGATCTTCCCCACTCCCCTCCCATAAACTGAAACAGCCGCGGAGGGGCCATACCTGCCACCGGGCCTTGCTCTCTGCGGGGAGGTCTCAGTGTGTCTGCGGATCACACCTTACCCCAGGTGGACTGTCAGGTTGCGAGGACGGAAAGGGGGCTGACCGATGTCGGCAGGGTCTTCGTCTCCCTCCCAGGGTGCCCTGTCCTGCTCACAAGTGATGACTGTCGCTGGTCCCTAGATGGTGGCCCCTGGCAAGCATGTGGAGCTGACTCCCGTTCCCTCACCCATTCATTCAGGCATCGAATATGTGCCAGGCATTGTGCCAGGGGTGGGTCAGGGGTGAACAAGATGAAGGATCTGAGCCTCATGACTCAGTCTGGTGAGCGCTGCCAGGAAAGATAAGATGGGTGACGTGACAGTCCTGGGGGGACGATGGTCAGGGAAGGCCTCTCCCAGGAGGTGACTGGTGAGCTGAGCCCGGAAGGAGGCGGAAGAGGCAGAGCTGAGGGCATAGCAGGTGCAAAGGTCCTGGGGCGGGAAGGAGCCTGCATGTTGGAGGGCCAGATAGAGGGCCTGACTGCAGCCCAGAGATCTCGGGAAGGGAGCAGGAGATGAGGCTGGGTCGGGGAGGGCTTGAAGACCCAGGTTAGATTTGGATTTTATTCTGGTTGTGATAAGAAGTAACGACTGCCCTAACCGGTTTGGCTCAGTGGATGGAGCAACGGCCTGCGGACTGAAGGGTCCCGGGTTCAATTCCTGTCAAGGGCGTGTACCTTGGTTGCGGGCACATTTCACTGCAGCCACGCTGGGCGTCTTACTAGTTTTTTATTTTTTTAAAAAAAAATATGCTTTTATTGATTTCAGAAAGGAAGGGAGAAGAAGAGAGAGATAGAAACAGCAGTGGTGAGTGGGAAGCGTCCATTGGCTGCCTCCGGCACGCCCCCCACTGGGGATCGAACCCACAGCCCAGGCATGTGCCCTGACTGGGAATCGAACCGTGACCTCCTGGTGCATAGGTTGACGCTCCACCTCTGAGCCCCTCTGGCCCCGCAAGCTCCTGGATGGTTTTAAGCCAGGAAGTGACACAGTCTGATTTATGTCCCTAAAGATCGTACCTAGAATGTCACCCCTATAAGGGCAGGAAAAAATCATCTCCATTTCAGAGATAGGCGGAGGCTCGGAGGACCTGGGTCTCTTGCCCAAAGTCTCATAGAAGGGGAGTCTCAGAGCCGAGGTGCACCCTGGTCTGCCTTTGGAGAGGCACCGACTCGGAACCGGCTCCGGGTCCCGCTCTGCCCCTGACGGGCTGCGTGGGCTTGGGCAAGTCTCTTCCCCCCTCTGGGAAGGGGGTGCTCACAGCAGCAGCTCCAGCCCGGGTTGTGGAGGATGAGATGAGAGTACACGTGGCGTGGGCCGGGCGCTTGTTGGCACAGAGGGCGTGCTGGTCGGCATTGCTGTCCCCTCTCCCCCCCACATCCCTGCCTGCACCCATGCTCTCTCCCGCCCCCGGCAGATCCTCTGGACCTTCTCCATCTACCTGGAGTCAGTGGCCATCCTGCCGCAGCTCTTCATGGTGAGCAAGACGGGCGAGGCGGAGACCATCACCAGCCACTACCTGTTCGCGCTGGGCGTCTACCGCACGCTCTACCTCTTCAACTGGATCTGGCGCTATTACTTCGAGGGCTTCTTTGATCTCATCGCCATCGTGGCCGGCCTGGTCCAGACGGTCCTCTACTGCGATTTCTTCTACCTCTACATCACCAAAGGTAGCTGGGGGTGGAGTGGGGGGGGGCGACGGCCTCCTCTCTCAGGCCCCGGGGTCCCAGGCCCCCCGCCCTTGTAGGAATTCAGCCTTCCAGCCCTGGCCTCCCTAAAGGACCGTGGAGTTGCTCTCCTCGGCCCCCACATCTTCGAGGGGAGATAGCAAGACAGCGGGCCAGGCGGGGGGCGAGGAGGGGGGTCGCCTTCTCACACAGAGGGGCTTCCTGCTGGGACCACACAGAGACCAGGCGCCCCCCCCTCCCCAGCCCGGGAGCATTTTGGGAAGAGGAGACAGGACAGAGAGAGGGGCAAGGTGGCCTCTGACTTTTCCCTGCTTGCAATTTGTCTGAAGCCCTCCGCCTGCCCGGAGATCCCAGATCCATAGGATTTCAGTCTCACTCCCTAAAGAAATCTGGAATTCCCAGGTCCCCAGTCCCAGCAGCGCTAAGAGAAAGGAGGGCCTCGTCTTTGTTCATTGATCTCTATCTCACCCTCAGGGAACTCAGCCCACTAACATTGATTGGTTGATTGATCAATCAGTTCATTCAACCAAGGAATTTATTGAGCACTTTCTGTGCCACAGTAGGAAAAAGGGTGGATGAGGCCCTCCCCTCCCTCGCCTCCCTTATAATTCTAGTTGGGGGAGATGGTGAATGAACAGGTAAAGAGCGATGATTGCCAGGAGCGTGGAGAGTTACAGCAGAAAGACACCAGGGGTGTGAGCAGCTGTGGAGGGTGAGGGGCCCCTTTACACGGGGGGTGCCTCAGGGGCGGCCTCTTGCTGGAGATGATGATGAAAGGAGAGACCTGAGGAATCGGGCAGCAGTCGGTGTGAAGGAGAGAGGGGGCAGGAGGACAGTGGAGGCAGCCCTGGGACCCTCGGGGTTCCGGCTGGGCTCCCTGGCCAGCCCCACCACACCCTCTGACCCCCGCTCCCTCTCCAGATGAGCCAGGGCCTCCAGCCAGAGTCCTTCAAGGCTGGGAGAGGAGGACTCCCCATGAGCAGAAATGGGGACCCCACGGAGACCACTGCTCGGCCCCTTGGACGAGACTAGGGTCCCCGCACCCCACCCCGTAGGGATTCAGGCCCCTTTCCCCAGTTTATAATCCAGGGTCCTGGGCCAACCCTCCTGGCATCTCTGTCCAGCCCAGCGTCCGGCTCTGGGTGTGGGAGGCCGTCCCTGTGAGCGGCCCCGTGGTGATGCCCGCCCCCCTCTCTCTCCTCGCAGTTCTGAAGGGGAAGAAGCTGAGTTTGCCGGCGTAGCCCTGGTCCTCACCATCTCTCTCCCTGGCAGCGGAGGACGGTGATGGGGGACGAAGAGCCTTCCTGTCCAGGGGTGACTTTTTTAAGAACCAACTTTTCCCCACTCCCCACCTTCCTCCTGCCGGGTTCCAGGGGGCGGTGGAGGACCCAAGACTTGGGGACGCTCAGGACCTGGGCTGTTTGTAGTTTTTTGCCTTTTAGAGAAGAAAAAAAAAAATCTTTCCACGATTTAGTTTTTGATTCTGATGACTCCTTTCTCTTCTACTCTCTGGCCCCGATTTTTATAAACCGTTTCAAGTATTCTGTATGAGGGGGGGCGGAGGGGCAGGGAGGGGAGATCTTTTCTCTCTCCCAAGCCCCTTAGCTCCCTTCCAGACCCTACTCCCAGCCCCACTGTTTGCCAAACACTAAATCTCCCGACACGGCCTTCCCGACCCCCCCACCTCCCACCCAGGACACAGCGCCTGCCCCCCAAACTTCTGGGCTGGGGGTAGGCGGAGGGGAGGAATGGTCCGCCCTGATTTTTCATAATCTCCCCCAGAGTTGGGGGTTTTTAGTCTAGTCCTCGTTTTTTGGGCATTTAGGGGGCTGGCTCCAGGGTCGCCGTGACTCTGCCACCATGTTTTTTGTACAGAATGGATGGTTGATTCTTTGTTCTCTTGAAATAAACCGAGGAAAATGATGCCTCTCTTTTGCTATCCTTGCCCTCTCTCTGGCGTTTGTGGGGTCCCGCCCCAGGCCCCGTCTGCTTCTGTTTTGCCCCGTTGACCGTCCGCAGGCGGCTGAGGCCTGGGAGGAGCAGGGAGATGAGAAACTGGGTTTCCTGAGACTCTGAGCTGTACCTCACGGGGGAAGATGCTTTGGAGAAACCCCGCCCCGAAGATTCCTCCTGTCGTATCGCAGAGCTTCCCTGGCTGTTCCCCCGAATCTCAGGGTTACAGGGGGCCTGGGGAGGCCACCACCCACCAGGCAGCCCCGTCCCACCCTCATCTGGCATTTTATGGAGCCATTCTCTTTCTTACCAAAAAAAAAAAGAAGAGATCAGTTGCCAGTCTTTAAAAAGCAGAGTTTCACATGAAAATCGGAATTTCTGGCTTCTCTTGAAAGAAATCCGTCAGTGACGATGCCTGGTCCTCCCTTCGGGCGGCAGCAGCTGGCTGGGCTGAATGGATGGGGACGAGCTTCCCGCCCCGGCCCAGGGCGTGGCCGAGGGTCCTTGCTGTTCATTAGTGGCCTGACCTGTCATTTTCTGGTTTTGTTTGTGGAGCTAAAAGGGGGCTGTTTTCCACGCCTCCCTCCAGATGGGCGGGACACCTGGCCTGTCCCCGTCCTTTGCCTTCCCAGCCTGGCCCTCGGAAGCTTTGGGGGTCGGGCCCCCGGCTTTGGACTCCCTAGATGTCTGCTGAGACCCCTCGCCGCCCCAGGGCTCTGGAGGATGGCTCCGGAAGCTCCGGGAGGTGGTAGCCAGCCGGCCGGCCCTGAGCGTTTTGCTAGTGCCCGACCACGTGGGTTTCACGGAGGAGCCCGCTGGGCCCTCAGCACCCCTGAAGCGGGCACTGGAGGGGAAACCGAGGCCTGGAGGGCGGGTGCAGAGGCGGGTCTGTGCCGGCTTCCTCATGCTGAGCCTGTGTTTAGTCACTGCTATGGGGCATTTCAACTATTCGTGTCTTTCTTCCTTTAAGCCGAGGGGCCTCCGGTTCAGAGGAATGTTGCCCAGCAGCCTGGGATACAAGGTGACCGGGGCAGCAGGGACAGGGCTGCGAGGGTGGGTTTGGGGCTGGGAGCCGCACCTCTTTGAATGCGTGGGGTCTGGAGGCCATCACTCTCATGGGTCCCTAGCGTTGCAGCCAGCACAGATCGGGCCCAGATAAGCTAGGTGAGACGTCCCGGCTTATCCAGCTGCTGGCCGCACAGTGAGGACGAGAGCCCGAATCCTCCCTGCCCTCCACGCCACCTCTGCCACGTCTCCCCACGCCCTCAGGGACCGCCCTGTTCTGTACCCCCAGAACTGAGCACAGGGCCTGCCGCGCAGGAAACCTCACACAGCGGCCAGGGAGCCCACCTCTGACCCCCCACAACTCGCATCCCTCGGTCCAGTTTGTAAACGGATGCCCTGCAGGCCGCCGTGCGTGGCTCTCGTGTGGGTGTGTTTGTTTGGCCGGCATGACATGAAAAAAGTTTGCATAATGTCCGATGGTTCTGGAAAGACCGGGAGGTTCTAGCTGCGTGGTCCAGTGTGGTGGCCATCTGCGACATGTGAACATTAGCACTTGAAATGGGGCGGGTCCAAACTGAGATGTAAAATACGCAAAGGATTGCAAAAGCTCGGTATGGGAGAATGTAAGATATCGGGGAATTTTTTATGCTGATGACATGTTGAAATAATATTTTGGATATACTGGGTTAAATAAAATATATGAAAATTCACTTCACTTGTTTTGTTCTACTTTCTATGTAAAACTCCATGCCCTGCCCGGCTGGTGTTGCTCAGTGGTTGAGTGTCGACCTGTGAACCAAGAGATCGCGGTTCGATTGGTGGCTAGGGCACCTGCCAGGGTTTGGGGCTCGATCCCCAGTGGGGGGCGTGCAGGAGGCAGCCGATCAGTGATTCTCTCTCATCATTGATGTTTCTCTCTCTCCCTCTCCCTTCCTCTCTGAAAGCAATAAAAATATATTAAAAAAAAATTCCACGCCCTGTGGCTCCCATTATATTCAATGGGCCAGTGCTGCTCTAGGCACCCCAGGCCGTGGTGCCAGTGTGGGTGCTGAGTGAGGGCTCCCCTCCTCGACACGGCCCCTCCCCCCACTATGCACTTACTGGCTGCCTTAATGGGGTTACCTTTTTGGTCCTACACACAGGAGCATTTTGGGGTCTGTGTGTGAGTCCTCCGTGAGCTTGGGATTCTCGATAAAACCCCTCCCTCTTCCCCATCAATCCTCCAAATATTTGAATTTAAGGATCCGCCCTCCCTGACCCCAGTCACGACTCACCACCCCTGTTTCCTTAACGACTCCTCCCGCAGCCGGCTTTGGAGTTGGGTCCCTTGTCACTGGAGGGAGTGAAAGGGCTTGGGCTTTGGGGTCCCAACAGGGCTGCTCCCACGGTTGACCCTGACTCCCAGCGCTCTCTCTGAACTTGAACTTCCTCAACTGCCCCCTCCACGGCTGACGTGAGGAGCGAAGTCCCTCTCCTGTCCCCACCTCTAACGTGCAGCTATCACGGTGGTGCCGGATGGAGGGACCCAGAGGTGGTAGGGACCCCGGAGGTGACCCCGGGGGTGACCTTGTTGGGTTTCTCCCCACCCCTGGCCGCGCCAGGAGCCAGCGAGGCCCAGACATGAGGACAGGGGCTGTTTTCAGAAACCCTTCTGCAGGGTGAGCTCTTTACTGAGGTGATGAAGAAGTCTAGTGGTCAGGCATCATGACGAGGCGGGGGACCTTCGCCGTGGTCAGATAGGGGGACAGGGCGGAGCTGGCGTAACTCATGCTGTTGGGGCCAGTGGTGGGCGTGTTGATAGGGCTGGCGTCGGAGGGCGGGGAGAGGGTGGTCAGCACCACGCCCCCCTCATTCAGGGAGCGCTTGTAGGGGACCGGGGCGTCATCGCGGAGGTCCTGGAAGGCCAGGTAGGCCTGGAATATCTGTGGGCAGAGAAGGGGCGCGGAAGGCTGGCGTGGCTGGGCCGGAGAAAGAGGGCCGGGGCCGGGGCCTGGCCTGGGAGGGAGACGCAGGGCGCGGCAGTGCCCACTGCTCACTAGCCACCCAGCTCAGCCGCCACCCACACAAGGCCTCAGGCCGGCCCGCGGCTGCTCTCCGATTTGCCTGGGAGCCAGGGAAGGGGCCAGCGGAGGCCCAGGGAGCTGCGGGAGCGGGAGGACAGTCCAGCCCTCCCACCCTGCCCTGCAGGGGGTGCCCGTGAGGGGCTCATCCTCACCCAGATGGGGACAGAGAAGAAAGCGAAGGCGATGGAGGCCTTGGCGCTGCCGTTCCCCAGGAGGAACTGTTGGGGCGGCGAACGGTGCCACTGGTTGGCCAGGAAGCAGAAACCCAGGAACCAGGTGCCTGCCCAGAGGACTGGGGGCGCAGGAGAGAAGAAAGGGGGGGAGAGGTTCAGGAAGGGCTGCTGGGCCTGGAAAGGGCCTCTCCCTCCAGCCTCTGTAAGATGTGCTGCTGGGGTGGAGCTGCACTGCCCACGGCCACAGGTGGCTGTTTACATTTCAATCAATTCAAATAAAATTCAAAATAATTCAGCTTCACCCCGGCCAGTGTGGCTCAGTGGTTTGAGCATCGACCCACGAACCAGAGGTCTCGGTTCAATTCCAGGTCAAGGGCCAGGTTTTGGGCTTGATCCCCAGTAGGGGGCATGCAGGGGGCTTCCGCGCCCCTTCTCTGCCCACAGATATTCTCATCATTGATGTTTCTATCTCTCTCCCTCTCCCCTCTTCTCTGAAATCAATAAAAACATATTTTTTAAAAATATATATTTTATTGATTTTTTACAGAGAGGACGGGAGAGGGATAGAGAGTTAGAAACATCGATGAGAGAGAAACATCCATCAGCTGCCTCCTGCATACCCCCTACTGGGGATGTGCCCGCAACCAAGGTCCATGCCCTTGACCAGAATCGAACCCGGGACCCTTCAATCTGCAGGCCGATGCTCTATCCACTGAGCCAAACCGGTCAGGGCAATAAAAACATATTTTAAAAAAATTCAGCCCCAGGGTCCCACTTCAAGAGCCGGCGGCTCCTGTATGGGAAGCGCAGGTACCAAACGTCCCCCCCTCACAGGAGGTTCTCTCGGAGGGCATGGACTCGGTGCCCACCGAGGGCCCTCCCGGCCCTGCGATGCTGGGACTGGCCCTGAGCAGAGGGGGAGGGAGGGGAGTGGGAGGAGGGGGGCAGGGAGGGG